TACCCCCTCTACTGTAATTCATTTCTCCCCCTTGTATTATTTTTCCCTTTCCCCTCACTTCCTCTTGTATGTAATTTTGTATAACCCTGAGGGTCTCCTTCCATTGTTGAACACTTTTTCATATATTTGTTGATCAATTGTATTTCTTCTTCTGTGAAGTGTCTGTTCAGTTCCTTAGCCCATTTATTGATTGGGTTATTTGTTTTTTGGGGGTTTTGTTGTTGCTGTTGTTGTTTTTGGTGTTAAGTTTTTTAAGTTCTTTATATATCCTAGAGATTAATGCTTTATTGGAGGTGGATGTGGTAAAAATTTTCTCCCAATATGTAGGCTCTCTTCTCACTTTATTGTTTCTTTTCCTGAGAAAAAGCTTTTTAATTTGAATCCGTCCCATTTATTGATTCTTGATGTGACTTCTTGTACTTTAGGAGTCTTGTTAAGGAAGTCAGATCCTAGGTCGATGTGGTGAAGATTTGGGCCTATTTTTTTTTCTATGAGGCACAGGGTCTCTGTTCTAGTGCCTAAGTCTTTGATCCACTTTGAGTTCATTTTTGTGCAGGGTAAGAGATAGAGGTTTGATTTCATTTTGCTACATACATAAGATGAGTTTGGAAGGGTTCCCTCCTTTTCTATTTCATGGAATACTTTGATACGTATTGTTGTTAATTCTTCTGTGAAAGTCTTGTAGAACTAAGTTGAGAATCCACCTGGTCCTGGGCTTTTCTTGGTTGGTAGGCTTTTGATGGTATTTTCTATTTCGTTACCTGAAATTGATCTATTTAAATCATTTCTGACCTCTTCATTCTGTTTAAGCAGATCATATGTCTCTAGAAATCTGTTGATGTCTTCAATATTTTCTATTTTATTAGAGTATAAATTTTCAAAATAGGTTCTAATTATCTTCTGTATTTCAGATGTGTCCATTGTGATATTTCCTTCTTCATCTTGTATTTTAATAATTTGAGTTTTCTTTTTCTCTTCATTAACATGGCCAGGGGTTTATCTATTTTTTTTTTATTTTTTCAAAGAACCAACTTTTGTTTTGACAGTTTTTTCTTGTGTTTCAATTTCATTGATTTCAGCTCTGATTTTAATTATTTCCTGTCTTCTGCTTTTGGTGTTGATTTGTTCTTCTTTTTCTAGGGCTTTGAGATGTAGTGTTAAGTCACTTATTTGTTGACTTTTTATTCTTTTAATAAATGCACTCAATGCAATAAACTTTCCTCTTAGTACTGCCTTCATTGTGTCCCAGAGATTTTGATATTTTGTATCAGTGTTTTAATTTGCCTCTAAGAATTTTTTTATTTCAATCCCATTTTTTTTAGTTGGGCATAATACCTTTATTCTGTTTATTTATTTTTATGTGGTGCTAAGGATCGAACCCAGGGTCTCATACATGCTAGAAGAGCGCTCTACCGCTGAGCTACAACCCCAGCCCCATTCATCATTCAACTGTGTATTATGTAGTCTCTATTTGTCACAGTAGCTTTCTATTTTTTATTTAACGTTGATTTCTAATTTCATTGTGGTGGCCTGTGACAGTATGGAAATTGAGCACCTGACTATGAACCTGAACCCCTCATTCTGGTTTTTGTTGCCTGTCAGACAACTTTTTTAAATGGTAGTATTCTCTATTGTTGATTGTTTCTTCATTAATGGTCCTTGTTTATATTGCTTTTTTGATGGTAAAATTTTCAAATTTTATTGTTAAGAAATGAGTCTCTATTTTTGATGATTTAATGGATTTGGTTTATAATCTGGGTTTAAATACTTTTTCTTGTCTGCCTTTTCTGACATGCAAGAAAATTAGACAAGGTTTTTGGAACTGTTTCTTCATACACATACTATAAAAAGGTTATTTTCACAGATATTATTAGATATCATGTTCCTTTAAGTTGAGTTCAAAGAACTGCTACATGAAAATCTTCTACAATGTTTAAGATTAAAGATTCCTTCTGAGTCCATGCCTCTGTGACTAGACCCAGGCATTCATACCAAGATGTTCCCCAAATATTTCTGATGTGCATTAAATTGTAAGAACAATCATTGTAGAGGTTAGACTATTGTAGTAAATTTGCACTCCTTTTCTAACTGCACATGGCCATATCTGATTATATGCATTTGACAACATTGTATTCCCAAAGTGGTCATTGAGTATAACCTTCAGGTGAACTTGCCTCTCTCTCTCTAGGCTATGTGGCTGATGTTGCAGAACGATGAGCCAGAAGACTTTGTCATAGCAACTGGAGAGGTCCATAGTGTCCGTGAATTTGTCGAGAAATCATTTTTGCACATTGGAAAAACCATTGTGTAAGTACACCTGAGGTTGATTGCTGCTTGTTCAGAGACATTTTCTGGTAGGTGTGCACACAAGTCTGCTCTTCACTGTGGTTTTGTTTTCTTATCTTCCCTTTCACTCTCAAAATCAGAACAGAAGGTTTCCATGTAGGGCATTGCATGCAACCCCATTTACATTGAATGTCAGCTGCTTGTCAGCATTTAAACCTAGTCTCTTCCTAATTTCTTTTATCTCTCTTATTTTTAAATGTTTTTAATTTTAATTTTATTTTAAAATTTTTTATCACAGTGTAAATACCATCTTTTAATATGATTCTACTGGGTCTAACTATACTCTTTCTAGACCAATGTGATAATAATTCCCCACATTTTACTACTTCCATCATATATTTTTTTAAATTTGAAACCATCAAAAGCTTACAGAAAGGCTTCAAATACATTATAGTCTCCTTTTCTCTAAACCATTGAGGGTAAGTTGTGATCTGGTGCCCAATGATCCTGAACTGGTGTGTGCATTTCCTAAAACAAGATATTCTTCTGCATAAACACAATACAACCATCAAACTCAGGAAATTCACAGTGATGAATTACTCCCATCTAATCATCAGATCACATTTGAGTTTTGGCAGTTTGGCTGCTCTCTACTTTATACCAAACTGATTCAGTTTATAATCATGTACTACATCTACATATTGCATTATACAAATGTTTAAGTTATATTTTAATAGTTGAATATTTGAAAGATTTGTGGGAAATCATTACAGATGAAATTTTTATTTTTAATGATTTTTTAATTGTGCTAAAATATAGGTAACATAGAATTCATCATTTTAATCATTTTTTTTGCATTACAATCCTTATTACACATATAGAGCACAATTTTTTGTATCTCTGTATATAAAGTATGTTCATGTCAATTTATGCCATTATACATGTACTTTTTTGCATTACAATTCTTAATACACATATATACCACAATTTTTCATATCTCTGTCATTTTAATCATTTTTGAATATACAGTTTAGTGGTATTAATTACCTTTACATTGTTGTTTAACCATCACCACTATCCATTTTCAGAATTATTTCATCATCCTAAAAAGAGAAATTTGATAACCATTAAATAGTAATTTCTCTTTCCCTAGTTCTGATAACCTCTGTTCTACTTTCTATCTCTATGAATTTGTCTATTCTAGGTACCTCATATGAGTGGAACCAACAGTAGTTGTCCTTTTATGACTGTCTTATTTCACTTAGCATAATGTCTTCAAAATTCATACACACTGTAACATTTAACATCTTTTTAAAGACTGAATAATATTATTTTGTTTGTATACCACATTTTATTGGTTCATTCATCTGCTAGTGGATACTTTTGGCTTCTGTGAAAAATGCTGCTGTGAATATGTGTTCATGAATATCTATTTGAGTCTCTGCTTTTGATTCTTTTGGATCTGGGTTTAGGAGTAGAATTTCTGAGTCATATGGTAATTCTGTGTTTAAGTTTTTGAGGAACCACCAAACTATTTTCTAAGATTCATTTTTGAACCATAAGAAAGGATTTCCACTTCTAGCTATAATTGAATAAAAAAAAACTAGATTTAACCTTTTATCTTTAAAAACCTAGGAAACTAGACAAAATACATGAAATAATTGTTTCAGATACTGGATGGCAAGCAATATGGGATTGAGATCTCTGATAGAAAGTAAATGAATTAGAGGAGCTCTGTAATCACCCTGTCCTGCTTTCTCCCTGGGAGTACAAGGAGCAAGCAAGGAGAACCCCAAGCTTAGAACAACTGTCCTGCTGAATTGAGGGGGCAGAGATCATAATTCATAGTCAGAGGGACCTGGACATTATAGGACAGAATTCTAGAGAGAGGGGATCTATATGGAACAGAGCTCCAGAAATCTACATAGAGGTCCTCTTAAGTCTTCACTTAATAATAATAAGAGGCATGTGTGTAAGAAATGCCACAAGAACTTAGACACAGAACTACCTGAGAAGCGGAAGGTGAATGTTTCTTCCAGTTCATCCAAGACTAGAAGGCTTTGAAGACTCAGCCATACATGATGAGGCAACCTGTGGATCCCTCAGAGAGTTCAGTGCAGATTCCAGAAGGGCTCTGCCTCAGCAAGAAGCTGTTCCGTAGAGCAAAGTCTACTCTAGACTTAGGCTAACCAGGTTTAAATACAGCTCTAAAAAGGATGGAACTGGACACAAATAACCTAGCTTCCTGCCATTACAAAGCCCCACATTCTTTACAGGAAAACAGTAAATCTTGACACTCAACTACACAGAATTCATTATGTTCAGCTTTCAATCAAAACTTAGTAGTCATGTCAAGAAGCAGGAAAACATGACCTATAGCCAGGATAAAAATCAATCAATAAAAACAGACTGAGGAATAATAAAGGTATTGGTATGAACATACAAAGATATTTAAATAACTATTATAATGATGTTCAGGTTTTCTAAGAAAGACAGGAGCACATTGCAGAGAGAGTGGTAAATAGCAAAACTTTTTTAAAAAAACCAATGGAGATAAAAACTTCTAGAGATAAAAAACCAAATATCTGAAATCTTAAAAATTCATTGTTGGCATTAAATGCAGATTAGAGGGCTGGGATTGTGGCTCAGTGGCAGAGCACTTGCCTTGCAAGAATGAGGCACTGGGTTCGATCCTCAATAACACATAAAAATAAATAAATAAAACAAAGGTATTGTGTCCATCTACAACTAATTTTTTTTAAAAAAAAGAGCATATTAGATACTACAGAAAATGCCAGTGTGTATGGAGACATAATAATAGAAATGATCCAAGAGAAAGCACAGAAGGGAAAAGACTAGTGGGAGAAAAAAGAGAGAGAATAGTTTCAGGAACTTGGGGACAATTATTAAGCAACCTGACATGCCATTGAAGTCCAAGGGAGAAAAAGGGGGAGAAACACAGAAAAAGAATTAAATAATGACTATTCCCCCAAATTTCATGAAAACAATAAAACCACAGATCCAAGACGCATAATAAACCCCAAGAAGAATAAGCACAAAGAAAGTCACACTTCTTAATCAAAATACCAAAAATAAATGCTAGGGCTGGGGTTGTAGTTCAGTGGTAGAGTGCTTGCTTGGCATGTGTGAGGCACTGGGTTTGATTCTCAACCACAAGCAAATAATAATAAAGGACCAATTGACAACTAAAAAATATAAAATAATTAAATAAATAAATACTAAAGAGAAAATCTTAAGATAGCTAAAGAAGAAAGATAGCTACTTACAGAAGAACAAATAGGAAAAAAAAGACCCTTTCCCCCCCCAAAAAAAAAATATGCAAGGCAGAATACAATAGGTTTAAGCTGCTAACAAAAACCTAGAACCTAGAATTCTATGCCTAGGTAAAATATTTTTTAAACAGTCATTAATTCAAGATTTCCTTTTTCAAATAGAAGTTGAGATGATTCATTGCCAGCAAACATTGAGGCAAAAGAAAAATGATACTAATTTGAAACCTGGATCTATAAAGAAATGAACAGCAAAATAAATAGTAAATATGTGGGAAAAATATTAATGCCCCCTATTCCTAAATATCTTTTAAAATGATGTTTAAATTCAAAATAATTTACCATGGGGTTTCTGATACTGTGTGTGTGTGTGTGTGTTGTGTAACAATAGTAGCACAGAGTTGCAGGGGGGAGATGGAAATATTTAAATATTACATTGTTGTAAGGGTTTTATATTAAATGTGAACTGGTATAAATTGTTTGAAGATAGATTACAGTAAGTTGAAGTCCATACTATAAATTCTATAGCTTTACTAAAACAAAACAAAGAACAACAATAAGCCAATAATAGAGTTAGTTGCAATTCTAAATACTCAACCAAAAGAGAGCAGGAAAAGAGAAAATGAGAACAAATAGCAGATTAGACAAATAGAAATGGTACTATATTGGTAATTATGTCAATTGTAAGTTATTTAAATACTCCAGTTAAAAGGGAGATATTGTCAGACTTGAAAAGCAATGTCCTTTCTACAAGAGACTCTTTTAAATAAAAACACAGATTAAAAGTAATAAGAAAAAAATTACAGTATACAAATACTAATCGTAAGAAATCTGAAAGAGTTATATTGTATGAGAAAAATTAGACTTCACAATTTACAATGAATAAAAAGAGTGATTTCACAATGTTAAGAGATCAATTCATGATGAAGATATAGCAGTTTAAAATGTGTATACACACATTTATACCTACTTCAAAATACTGATAGAACTGAGAGAAACAGGCAAACTTTGTGCTTGCATATTTTTACATTCCTTTCTCTATAACTAACAAGCAAGTAGACAAAAAAAAGGACATAGAAGACATGAACAACATAATAAACTGCTTGACCTAATTAGTGCTATAAAATATATCATCCATTAACCAAAACAGCAGCATATACATTCTTTTTAAGAGTACCTTTAATAGTCACCCAAAGCAGACCATATTCTGTGCCATGAAAGTAGTCTCCATAAATTTTAAAGAATTGAAATTATGCTTTCTGACCAAAATGAAATCAATTTAGAATTAAAAAAACAGAAAAATATTTAAAATCCACAAACTTCTAAGGAATTCACAGGTCAAAGTGGATATCTCAAGAAAAATTAGAAAATATTTTGAACTGAATGAAAGTAAGAGCAGAAAATTAAAATTTATAAGATACAGCTAACACAATGCTTAAAGAGTAGTTTATGCCTTTCTATATTAATATTGAAAAAAAAAAAGAAAGCTCCTTGAACAACTGCTTGTTTTCTACTTAAAAAGCTAGGGGAAAAAAAAAGAGTAAATTAAACCAAAGCATTCAGAAGGAAGGATATTTCTATTATAAAGTAAAAATAGAGATTGATGAAATAGAAAAACAAAAACACTACAGAAAAAGTAAATGTAACCAAAACTTGGATAGATCTCTGTCCATATTGATGAGGAGAAAAAGAAAAGACAAAAATTATAAATAGTAGAAATAAAAGAAGAGT